GATCTATTGGTTAAAAATATTTTGTTCCTTGGAAGGATCCAAATCATATTTTTATCATTACATAAGGAAGACAATTATGTATGCCAATAACACGCAAGTCCGCATCAGTACTCAGGAATCTTGGGTGAAATTTGAAGTATATGGTTATAGCGCGAATACCCAGAGTAGCTGACGTGCCTATAAACCCATCACCACTACTACTACTACTATATGGTTATCATGACAATATTATTACCTTTCAGTCAGCAAATATTTGGACAGCACATTAAAAAAAGTTGGTTAGCTACAAATGAAAAACTACAAAGTACTTACTTGGCACATCGTTATTATCACATATGATCTTGCGACGAGAAGAATGAAATCCTAAAGTTCATTTTTCCCCGTTAGCTTAAATTGAAAATTCACTATCACTTCAATGTACGCACAGCATGAAATATTTTGATTAACAAAACCACATACACATAGTTCATTGGTCTAAACAAACACCAGGAACTTCACCACGTTATTACTCTTTTCGTACATCTTCCCTTATTAATACTGACTCCTACTGCATGGTGGCAATGTTGCAGTGGCTGAATGCAGATACAGCTTAAAGTACACTGTCGATAAAAGTTGATTATAATAGGAGCTATCTAAGAATTGTCCCATAACATTTTTTGCGTAATATTTATAGTGTTTTAATTGTAATTTAACGTTACAACACATTTTACAATGGACTTGCTGAATTAATATTTGAAATTACCTCACTGTTCCCAGAAATTACACAACAGCTGTCACCTTCGAACCAAAACACTATCTGGTGCTATACCAATGAACTTCCAAAGGGTTTCACACACGCACTGAAATGGCGATTTAATTACTACTTGAAACTGTAAATATGTAACAAAATGCTATTACTATTATTATTTTTATTCAACATTAAAGGGCACTTGTCCATGATTCACGGTCAAACACCTCATTATTACTATTATTTTTGGAAGATATTACTTAGAGAATCCATGATAAATTAGTTGGACATAACCTCAAAGTTATGTAACAGCGCTGTGTTTGTAATTGCTGCTTTTCAGCCAGTATTCACACAAAATTTGTACGTAACTTCATTATCTATCCTTATACCATATTTCACATACCAAGTTCCATTGCTCTCAAACTACTCTACATTAACCAAAGAAAAGTTTTAACATAAGTAGAACATTCTTCAGAGACAAATTACCATACATAATTTCAGGTAAGGCTTGTGTGTCTGCTGTTATTACTAATTACAGAAAATTAAAAAGGTTGGGGATGATCACAAATGGTGAAAAATTAGTCAAGTGGTTTGGAAGCTGAAAACAGGGACAAACTCATGAATAACATGATGATCTCACAAGCCTGCTTCCTTCCCTTAAGGAATGTGGGATAAAAAATGAACAACAGAAAAATCACCAGTTTATTTACTCCATGTCTTTACAAATTTCATATCTATGCAAACAAATCAGAAATACAAAGTTTACAAATAAATGCAAATATACAATTCTGAAAGCATATATTGATTTAATTTTGAGAAGCAATATGTGTATAAGCAAATACAGAATACTGTTAAATTAGAAGGTAAAAGTATACATTTGGAAGTTTACTCAATATGACAAATATTTTGGACAATGATTGTAATGGTTTTTTCTTCTTCCAAATTCAATATTTGAATCTGTTTCCACCTTCAGGTAAAAAGATGGAGACAGAGGATGATTCTAATATGTTGTGCCCACTAGACAGTCTTTTCCTTGTCTAATGGTCCAAACAGAATAAGATCCTCCTTTCCATCTTTTCACCACAGTATGGAAACAGATCCAGCTTCTGAAACATAAGCTTTCAAAAAGCAAACAGTGAACAATGTCCAAAATAATAGTCACACTGATTACCAAAAGTTTAAATTCTAATTTACAATTAAGCCATTATTGAGTAATCAACAGAAATATCCATGCAGTATATACAATATACATAATCACAATCTGATAATTAATCTGAGAGTAGAGTAGGGAGAAAATAAGTTTAATTAGGAGCATAAACCACTCAGAGATCAGAAATGTAATTTAGCACTATACAGTGCAAGTTTATGAAGGAGAGATCTCAGCAAATAATTATTAAAATATTTATTAATATTGTTATTATTGGTCAGACACTTTACTAGTGTACACCCATATAGAATCAAGATTTCTGTCATTACTTCACAGCCACACCACAAATTAGGTAAATAAAATGAATGGCATTTGGCCATTTCATTGCTAATTTTGCCACTGGGCATTTTCAAGCTTTTATGGTCCTGTTTTTACATGAATATTCTTTAAGCACCTTGGCCAACAGAAATTGAACACACACAATATGAAATCATAATCAGCCATGTATAATGGTTCTCAGCCTTCAGAAATCATTCTACCACCAAAGCACAGTACCAACTGCATGCAGCATAGTCCCTAACAAGATGCTGTCAGTCACACAGCAAGTCATATAATTTCCTGCCTTTTCTTACAACCCAATGGTTCATTACCAAGTTCACAAGAGCCCACCTTGTCCTGAGTCAGATGAATCCATACTGCACCCTCCCACTCATATTTCTTTTGAGATCCATTTTAATATTATCTGTCTACACCTAAGAAGATACTACGTGGGATACATAAAAGCTAGGAGGATATTATTAAAATACAAATCAGAGTGTGAGAATGTAAACTGGATTCAACCAGCCATTAGAGTCCTGACTTAGGCAAACATAGAGGCCACCAATTTTCTTCTGAGTAAAGAAACTAAAAACTGCAGGCACATAAAACCAAATATAGTAGCTGGCGTAACAGAACACAAATGAAAAATATGTGAATATCTGAAAGCCATGGTGGGCAAGAGATTGCTATATTTGAATACAGGGACTGAAAATCGACATTATGATCAATAAAGCAGTTCAAATCAAGATACACTTTTAAAAAATCATGCATCCTATCTCTGTTCATTAATTTATTTACTTACTGATAATTTACTTTCTACATACCTTTACACAATTAAACTCCAATAATTCCCATGAATTTTAATTCAAGTACTTAAAAACATAAATGTTAATGCTTATATTACTAACAAAATTTCTCTCTTTACTTCACATATTCCAATGAAAGCAGTAGTCTCTGGTGCTGTAAGCCTAGTTTTTGCTGGTTATTTAAATTTTAAACAAAACCAATTCCTAATCCCATCACTTCAGTCATAAAGATGGAGACAGTATATTCCTCTGAAGTGTTGGTATATACCTAAAAGTCCACATGGCATTATAATCCAGAAGACCAACATAAACCTCTTCACCACACTGAAAACCTCAAATACCACACAATAAATTATATTTCAAATAGGACTTGACATAGGACACAAAGATGTGTGAGTGAGAGAATATATATGTCATGTAGAAAGTGCCTCTGTTTGAGCTCAGTCCACGTGGGAGTTGCACATTACTTTGTGCACTTTATCAACATGCCACTAGTCAACAAAGTTTACCTGATTTATGCTCAATACAGCACAGAGGGTGGCAAAGTTGTACTGTGCCTTCAGTGAACAAGCAGCAAGAAAACTGTCTGGTAACAGTCTGTATGAAATCATCCTAACATGGAAAACTGTTTGTGACTAAAGGAAAAATAATGTAATTATATCTAAGATACCACTCGGTCAAAGCATCATTATTTTTAATGTCAGACTTATGGAATGTTAAACTTGTCTTTTTTTCACATTCAACTAAGAAAGTAAATAAGTAATCTCTGCAGTGTCTTTTATCTCTAAGCAGACTTCTTTAAATGACACCCACCTGCCCGTGCAACTACATTTAAACAGCAGTACTTAACAATGTCTTTGGAAACTATGTTAGTCACTAATGGATTTACTGGTGTACTGTATGGATAACAACAGATCTATTTTTAATACATATGAACTGATAACAGGATGGATTTCTACAATAAAATTAGGAATATTAAACTTATTACAAATAGACAAGAGAAGTTTTCAAATGTGCAGCAACAAAAACTTAATGCAAAGGTACAGACCAACATCAATGAAGGCACAT